TTTTTTAATTTTTTATGTTCTTGTAGTACAGGGACTTTGCCCGATTTTTGAGTAATTTTAAAAGTTCATAAAAATCCAACTTTGATTGGAATTAGCTCAAACTTTCTACGCAACACAAGTACATGTATATGTATCAGAAAAAAATATAAAAACGAAGAATTTTCTCCTTTTCAATTTTGAAAAAATTGGGCCCATGACCCTGTAGTATAGTACAGGGACTTTGGCCCGATTTTTGAGCCATATACTTGTATCATGGAATGGAATAGTAAATACGTGCATATTACTTACTAAACTCAACACTTGGAAGAACTTCAACTGAAATACTACAAGCAAATATACTACCAGTATCTCCCTCAGGACTAGAACCTATTATAAAGAAATTGCTGTTAAGAAGAGTCTTGCATGAATAAGACACATTTAGAATTTAAAAGCTGTGGATTTAAGGTAAATATTTAGGCACAACATCTAACTACAAGTAGTAGATCTAAGACTTACAGTCTTTCAGTATCTGTTGCATGTTTTCGTTTTGTTTAGAGCTAGATAATACAATGCTTGGCTCCACTTGCATTATAACTGCGAAATAAATAAATAAAAGTAAATGAATTGCAAATCAGAAATTATATATAAACTCAACACTTGGAAGAACTTCAACTGAAATACTACAAGCAAATATACTACCAGTATCTCCCTCAGGACTAGAACCTATTATAATAGTCAGTAGATGCATGTAGCTACCTCGTTTAAGGATCTCATAGTCTTTAGTTTCAGCTACATCCAGCATTATACACAACTGGCCAGACTCAGTGTCATAATAGGACAGACCCAAGCAGCCACCATTGTACAGGACACTCATTATTAACTAGAAGGGAGGGGGAGAGGTAAAAATGAGAAGAGAAGCAGAATTTTTTAACTGAAAGAAGGCAGCTTTTATCTGCTGCAGCTAACCTGTGATTGAATGGACTCTTCGTCAGTTGTGTCCCATATCGAAGTCTTTGGTATTTTTGACGGTTTCTGAACCACATCTCCTTCTCCCAACTGATCTTCATCAACTCCAGCTGAGCTACAAGACGCCATGCTAATTTCTAAAAGGAGTGGTCTGACACGTGAACGCACGTGGGGTGGGCTTGAAGGCTGAATTTATGATTTTCCAATAAAAAATTCAAAAAATAAATATTAAAAAAAATAAATATTAAATAATTATTTAATATAGCATATCATTTAATTCGATTATAATCTCAGACATTTTGAGTCGTTTTGCAGGATCTGTCACCACACAGTGTTGAATGAGAGATTTGAAAGGTACTTTACGGACATTATCAATCAGACCGATCCTCTCGTGTGGTAATGGTATACGACGTGTCACCATCTCTAAAAGAAGAACACCATAACTGTAGGCATCCATTGCAGGAGAATGATCTATTGGATTGGCTGCTTCGGGTGCTGAGTATACAGGATTCCCTGGATTCGAAGTATTTCCAATGAGAGGCTGAAGATTAGCTGAGCCATAATCGGAAAGCTTAGCTCTCCACCCACTGCCATAGCCACCTCCCATTGATTGAAGGAGTACGTTAGCACTGCTGACATCTCTGTGTAGGATAGGAGGCTTGCAGAG